CCCCCCCCCCCCCCCCGCCCCCCGCCACTCTCCACCCCCTCTCCGGGCTCAAGAGTTGCGCGCAGACGGCTAAGGGTGCCTCCTGCCTTGTCTAGGTGGTTAGGAGGCAGAGGTCAACCAGCTGCGCCTTCCTCCGCTGCACACGCACCCCTGTGGAGCAGCCCGGCTCTGCGGGAGGCGGCAGAAGGCTGAATGGAGCTGCACGTGGAATCTGGATGAGTTCCGAGGATCCTGGGGTCCCTAACCAGAGTGAAGCCTTAAAAGGCTTACCCTAGACTGGATGGAGACCTCCGGTCTGCGGGCGCCACCTGCCGGACACTAGGGCCTATTTAGGACCCTGGGGCTAGAGCAGGCAGAGACTAGATCTTAGCCAATCCAGGGATTTGTAAAATCAGGAAACTGAAGACCCCTCTCATCTGGACTATGCATTAGCCTCCTAACTGGACTCCCCGTACACGTTTCTCCTTTCCAATACATCTTCCGCACAGTTGCCAAAGCAATATTGCTAAGCATCAGCGTTTGATCATGCAAGAAACTCCCTGTTACCCCTAGAATCAAGTGTAAACTCTTTTTTGGAACCTGAAGCCTTTCCAGCCTGGTTCCAAACCATCTTTCCAGTTTTGTACATTACTTCCCTCCAGCAAGTCTAGGCTGTAGCTAAACTGGCCTATTTAACATTTCCCCATACACAATACTCCATCCCTGATCTTGGTGCTTTGATATCCACTCATGCCTGGAATACATTTACTGCTGCAAGTAACCGACCCTACTCCTCCCCAACCCTGTATTTATTTTGTGCATACTTCTATGTAAACATGTCTCCTTGTAAAATGTAAATTCTTTAAGGGCAGATTTTTTTTTTTGTCTCTGTTCCCAGCACTCAGCACAGTGCCTGACACTGTTTAATAAATACTTCTTGATTTACCAGAGATTAAGTGATTTGGCCAAGGTCAAAGGATGGAACCAAGATTCAAATCCAAGTCAAAGGACCACAGATGGACAACTGGGAGATATAGAGGGGCACTGAGTTCAATCCACTCTTTTTACAGATGAGGAAACAGGATTCAGAGGAAGTGACTTGCTCAATCCCACAGCAAGGAAGATTGGTCTCAGGTCATTATTTTTTCTTAACTAATTTGATAGACATTTGGAGGATTCTCATAATTTTTTAAATGTACATTTCTCTAATGACTAGAGGTTTTGAACATTCCCATGTGACTGTTGCCGTTTCTTCTTCTGAGAACTGCCTATTCACATCCTCTAACAGCTTATCAACTGGAAAATGGCCTTAATGAATTTGAGCTATAAAACTGGGATGTCAAAAGTTTAATAGAAGTGTTTGATGCAAATATTTTCTCTATTTCATTTCTTATTCTGGATGCATTGTGCTTGTTATGCAAAAGTTTTTTATTTTTCATTCAAAGTCA